AATTATTACATTTATATGCACACTAGAATCTTGTTGACCTATATTCAGCACTGTATTGATGTATAGGCCACTTATTAGGGTCATAATTCAATCATGAGGTGTATAGGCATATGATTCCAAACCAGGAAGTATTTTTGTGTCAAAATCCATTTGCATCCTACGCATCCCTAGATCTTATCCAAATATGCTACTACATAATGAAATAAAATAGTATATTCTTTGGTTTTACAAAGTTGTATGATTTTTGATAAGTGTAAAAGTTGTTTTTGGAGCATTTTTCTATAGCCATTTTGTAGGGAAAAAATGATGAAAAAATGTACAATATTTTAATTTTAAGTATGACCTAAATCGATTGCAAACTTCATATTTGCACATTTGATGAGATAAACCATTAGTGCCATATTGTGAAATTATTAAGTTTGCAATCGATTCAGGTCATAGTGTATTTTTGGTATTTGTGTGATAATCAATAGAAACCAATGGCCTCTATTGGGATCTGCTGATATCCTCATGTTAAGTCAATGAAGCACAGCCCCATGTAAGGCAATACAACCTTACTAAACTAAATGGCCCCTATCTCAGCCTATGTGTGCCCGAGCATTTTAATATTTTCCAAAGAGTTATATGACATTCTATTCTTCATGTTACACCTAACAATTATTCATTTTGACCATAGGGGTATTTGCCAATAATCGCACCTCTTCCTTTTAACATATAATGTGTAAATGTATAACACATATGTGTACCAAGTTTCATTGTAAAAGTCCTATTTTCCTTTAAGTTATGGCATCAACTGCAAAACTTTTTGAACCACCTAAGTATATACCTTATTAGATGCAGTGAAGGAGTTAAATCATTGGGATATGAATAAATCATGCAAAACATATTTTGTACATATTTCTCATCATTTAGGGTTACCCAGTAGTTTACAAGCTGACCTTTGCAAAATATATTTCACTTACTATCTTAATTCGCTATCACGTTATCTAGTTTCTTTCCAAATTGGCCTGGATTGCCTGGTTTATTGGTTTTAGCGAACCGTCCATTTTGTCGAACCATCATTTTGCTAAGGTTGTTTGTGATGAATATACAATATTCAGCTACATATAACTGTACAGCAACTTTATGCAAGGGAAGGTAATTGTGTGAGAGCACATAAAGTACATGAAGTATTGACCCACTTGTCTCAGTGAATCTTATAAACAGTGCATAAAGTTTTTTCTATGCAATGATTGGCTCACAGTTACTTATAGTGTAAGTTATTTCATTTCTATACAGTGTGGAATAGAGTGTATAAACTTTTACAGTTTCAAGCAGGTTTTAGTGTTTTCTGACCAATGATATATTCAGACTTATTCATTTCACGATTATGTAATACTGACCTACATATCTGTATAGCATATCTTTAAAGACATTTATCCTGCATTGTTTTCTTGTTCAATGCGTTCATTCTGTGGCGAATATACGAATCTTGCAAATACTAGCAAAAACTATGTGCAAATGAATCTAAGTTTTAAAACATAAGCAGATTAATGGCATTTTCATCACTGATTTAACGGTAATTTATACGTAAATCGATCTAGCACTTTAAACATAAGTGACAAATACTTTAGACTCGTTTTATATTTAATTCCTTACACATTTATCATGTATAATTCAAAATATTTCGAGATAAAACAGATAATCAGGAGATTAAAAAGAAATAAATCACAAACTGCGCGCCTATTTTGGCCAGAAATTAGAAACTGTGCGCAAACACTATTAAAACTACATATTATCATTGGACTTTCTACAGAGGCACGTGTAGGTGTTTTTCATGTAGCTTTGGAAATTTTGCTTTATCGTCAGATTTTATGAGATTTTCATAAATTGAAAGTCAAAATGTATAATAGAAGTGACAATTAAGTTGGGAACGGAAAAACCTTATATTTTCAGATCACTATCTTGGTAGATGGACTCTCATAGTGTTTCAATTATGGGGTTCTACTATTAGACACATATGTGCCTTGTATGGCGCTTATGTTTTCTAATAATACAAAACAAGCTTGGATAAGCAAGCAGTTTTGAAATATTAGGCACGCAGTTTGGGAAATACATGTAAATATAGGCGCGCAGTTTGACAAGAAAAATGTTTAAATCACGTTTATGGCGTATTATCGTTTTGAACACAAACTTTGCTGATTTAATCAGATGGAGTGATCCTATATATTCTAGCATACACAGACACAATGGCTGAATAAACGGCAAATGACGATAAAAAGACATAGATATAACTTTACACTGTAAAATTTGAACACAGAAGTTACTTAAAACCCTTATATTGAGATAACTAGGTTTACATCGGGAAAAACATTGAGTACTATGAGTTAATTAAGTTCATCTTCACAGAATGGTACTATCTTTAGAACGAGACTAACCTTGTATTTTTCGTATTTTGGCTCCTTTTGGGAGTCATGTCCTCCCCGTCTCACATTTTGAAATATGCACGCATTTTGTCAGAGTTGCAAACAGCGTGCCTACTGCTTGACATGGGCATCGTGAAAACGCAAACAAAAAAACGAAAAATCGATGTCGTCTAAATGATACGTATGTAAATGTCAATCTCCTAAATATTAAGATTGGTAATAGCTTTACAAGGACATGTCACTGTCATATTTTCAAAGAATAATACGTAATGTTTAATTTTTCTCAGTTGTTAAACCACCAATTTCAATCATCATATCACCGTAGCAACATTCGATATGACAAAAAAAGCTTTTCAAAATTCAATGGTATTTCACCTTGGATCATGACAAGAGAAGGCTCATAATATTCAGTGATGCGGGGAGACGATGGGGGATTGTAGTATGATATTTCATTTCAACGACGATAAGGCAATTGCCGTATTGATAGTATGCCAATAGTTTAATATTTATTTTATTATATATTTATTTTTTGTTAAAAACAATTCTTGATTTCGAGCCCGAATTTAATTATATAACATCCGTGGTAAGTACAGTTCTACAGTATTGATTTTCAATTTAATGGCATACAACCTTTTGTTTTTCTATATCGGAAAATAAGTGGAACTTTAAAAGCTTCAGTCACATTTGTTCAATGCGACCACACGTCGATCGTATTTCCCTGAAATCAGTAAATTTCTGCGGCAAACATAGGAAAACTAACTCACCTTGCTGTCTACGTACACGACATATCCAGTTTTTACAAGGCGTAGAGTCGGAGTTATAACTTTTTCTTTCCTGTGGTCACCATAGATATCAACAAGCAGTAGCCAAACCGTAGGTCTCACGACGGCCGTACGTCGGGTTCACGGTCGACTTGCGGCTGCGCTTGGATTTCATAGGTTACAATTGAAGAAAAACTACGCACGTCGTAGGGCCGCCCTACGCTGATCGTGCGTCATCATTTATCAGCCGTACGGGAATCGTAGTTTTTCCTCATAATCAAGATACGCCGTACGGCTATCTTAGCAAATGTGACTGCTAAATTATCTGACTGCAGAAATACTTAGGCAACCGTAGAAATCCTACTTACCACAGAAATGATAGACCGTACGTTCCCCGTAAAAATGTGACGTGAGGCTAAGAATCCATGATAGTAATTGAATACGGTTTTAAAAATTTAATTTTAAAATTTTAATTTCTTTGAAAACCTGTGTTAAAGATAAACATAAATGCAATGAATATTAAAGTACGAACACGTATTTTTGTAATGAGACTAGCAAATTAAACCATTGCATTCTTGGAAATTCAAGATGGGTTGGTTGAATTAATTTTATCATGTTTTATTCAAATAGTTTGCATTCGCCTGATAGAATTAGCATTCTCTGTTTGCATTTAGCGCTAGACCTAATAAAAGTTAAAAAGTCACGAATCCCAGATTGTTTCAAGTGTAAATAAAGAATAAATCTAACCTGCATTCCATGTCTAGATAGGTAAAAAGCAATTCCGAAAATGCCGGCGTTAATATTCTATTGAAATCCTTCTTTATTATGGGTGGTATATACGTATTCTTTTAGTTCCTTTGAAATGATTTCTTTGGTTTTGGAATGGCAACAACTCGGCATTCATTTTTGGATTCAAAAATGGCGCCACAAAACGTTTGGAATGCCAAGGCATCAATCTGGCATCAATGACGTCATAACAATGTCGTAAAGAACCACTTTACGGTTGAAATGGCAGCTCCGTGGTCCAGTTCATATGCAAAACCCGGGGCTCAATAACAATTAAAAGGATAATGATAGAACAATAAAACTAAGTTGAATTGAAAGATATATCTTTATTCTAACTTATTATCAAGTTTAAGGGACAAAACTTCGCATTCCCTTTAAGGACTATAATACACATAGAGTTGCCCTTCCCTTTCTAATAGTCTAACAGTGCTGTACTTTTCTTTAAGGGCTCTTAGACTGTCTTTTAGGGGAAATGCATATGCCTTCTGAGCATCATCATCATATCCTGTGAACATCCCTATAACAGTAAGATTCCCCTTATCCTTTGTTACGATGAGTGATCCACTGTCACCAGCTCCTGCAAAGTTTTGTCCAGGTGTATTGCTTGTTATTTCTATGGCACCAGCTAGTTTTATACTCTTACTAATGCCATCACTGTCCCTAATAAGATTACCTTGTGTATCTAGTACATTTAAAGTCTTATGGAAGTCCCTATGTGATATCTTTCCTATTGTATGTTGTGTACTTCTTCCTGTTTTCTCAACATTTTGAATTGTTACATCTTTTATCAACCTTTTATGACTTACAAGCCCATCACATATTTTGAAACCATGAATTAGCAAATCAGAATATGTCAAAGTTGAATCTGGAAGTTGGATTTGTACCAACGCTATGTCACATATTAACTCTCCAACATTTTTGTGGCCCATGAGGCTGCCTTTAAGCTCACCAATGATTTTAAATGTGCCAGTATCATTTGGGGAATCATATATTATTTTATCCCCTTCCCTAGTATTTGACACTACATGTTGACAAGTTAGGGCATACGCTATGTCTTTATCAATAAAAGAATTCCACCTAATGTGCCTACTGATGGCATAGGGCCAATCCCAAAAGCAGTGCAAAGTTTAATTGAAGAGGGAGAGCTTTCTTTGACCTTTTCTATGAGGAACTTATGTTGATTGAGTTCAATGTTTTGTGTGATTTCTGTAAGATAAACAGTATATCTGGTGTCCCCTGGTTTCAAGCCAAAGCTTTGGACACCTTTTAAATGAAGAAGTTTTGCCTTCTCCTCATTATTAAGGAAGCAAACTTTACTTTCATCTCTATTTCTACATGCAACACAATCTTCATCTTCACTACATGAGGATTCCTCAAGGGAAATTACACGCATTTCCTCTGCTTTATTAAAATTTTGTTCACATTTTCTTACATTTTTCTCATCCTTTGAAGGGCTGAAATCATGTTTATTAGCATCAGCACCCATTTCATTTGATCTACCCTCTAGAACAGCTTGGGCAAAATCCTCCTTATCATACTTAGCAGCTAACATTAGGGCGGTTTCTCCAAGCATATTTTTCTTTTTTATATCAGCCCTGTTATATATTAGTGCCTTGAGACAATCTATATTCTCATTCTTTACAGCCAACATCAAAGCAGTGTCACCAAATTCACCTGTCTTGTTTACATCAGCACCAGCTTCTATTAGAGCTCTTACACTATCTATCTTATCATTCTCAACAGCCACCATTAAAGCAGTTTTACCAGAATCACCTGCCTGGTTTACATCAGCACCAGCTTTTATTAGAGCTCTGACACAATCTACCTTATCATTCTTGGCAGCATACATTAGAGCGGTTCTACGATAATAATAGACTTTGTTCACATCCACACTTTTTATATCAGTACCAGCCTCTATAAGATCCAATAGACAATCTATATTTTCATTCCTGGCAGCCAACATTAATGCAGTTACCCCAAATTTACTTGAATTGTTAACATCAGCACCAGCATCTGTTAGAGCCCTGACACAATCTAACTTATCATTCTCAACAGCCAACATTAAAGCAGTTTCACCATAACGACTTGCCTTATTAAAATCAGTGCCAGCTTCTATTAGAGCCTTGATGAAATCTACTTCTTCATTCTTGGCAGCCACCATTAAAGCAGTTTCACCAGAATCACTTGCCTTGTCCACATCAGCGCCAGCTTCTATAAGAGCTCTTACACAATCTACCTTCTTATTCTTGACAGCCAACATTAAAACAGTTTCACCAGAATCACTTGCCTTGTCCACATCAGCTCCAGCTTCTATTAGAGCTCTAACAAAATCTAACTTATCATTCCTGGCAGCCAACATTAAAGCAGTTTCACCAGAATCACTTGTCTTGTCCACATCAGCACCAGCTTCTATAAGAGCTCTTACACAATCTACCTTCTTATTCTTGACAGCCAATATTAAAGCAGTTTCACCAGAATCACTTGCCTTGTCCGCATCAGCACCAGCTTCTATAAGAGCTCTTACACAATCTACCTTCTTATTCTTGACAGCCAATATTAAAGCAGTTTCACCAGAATCACTTGCCTTGTCCACATCAGCACCAGCTTCTATTAGAGCTCTTACACAATCTACCTTCTTATTCCTGACAGCCAACATTAAAGCAGTTTCACCAGAATCACTTGTCTTGTCCACATCAGCACCAGCTTCTATTAGAGCTCTTACACAATCTACCTTCTTATTTTTGACAGCCAATATTAAAGCAGTTTCACCAGAATCACTTGCCTTGTCCACATCAGCACCAGCTTCTATTAGAGTCCTAATACTATCTACCTTATCATTCTTGGCAGCCAACATTAAAGCAGTTTCATCAGAATCACTTGCCTTGTCCACATCAGCACCAGCTTCTATTAGAGCTCTTACACAATCTACGTTCTTATTCTTGACAGCCAATATTAAAGCAGTGTAACCAGAATCACTTGCCTTGTTAACATGAGCACCAGCTTCTATTAGAGCTTTGACAGATTCTACATTATCATTTGCAACAGCTAACATTAAAGCAGTTTTACCATGAAAATTGGTTTCATTAACATCAGCGCGGGCTTCTTTCAAAGATATCAAGTTCTTTAAATTGCCATCTTTGACTGCATTAATCAGAGCCCTTTGCGTAGCAGTCCCCTCCATTGAAGCATGTGAAAACCCGAAATCCATCAAATCATCATCAAACTGGTGTTGATCTGTAAAGTAATAATAAATTATGTTGTAACCATTCCATTACTGTAGGAATCATCTTCATTTAAACCTGATTGTTAAGAAAATTAGAATAGTGAGAAGAGGATGAGTTTGATCATGTGGGTCCCACCTATCTTGGTCATTGATGTTGGTGGTTGCATGGACCCCAAATATGTAAAAAATAATCTCAATAGCTCAGTTGACACCCCATTTTTAGCTCACCACCTGCTATTGCAGTCACTCACTTGTCCGTCTGTCTGTCCGTCCGTCCGTCTGTCTATCAAATATTGGCCCTTTTAAAACCTCCGTCGATAGGATTCCCGTTTTAAGTCATTTTTTGTTCAACATCAATACAGAAACTCCCCTATGACTCTTGGTTCAAAAGCTCGCCTATTCAAAATGGTCGCCATTTTTGTCTTGCAAAATCCACCTTTGGCCCATTTCCTAGCTTTACAAATAATTTCAGTTGTCCTGCATCGTAAAAATCCATGTTACTTTAAAGAGTAGTTGTATGAAATAATTTTGTTACAAAAAATCGACAAAAAATTATATCCATTGCTTTTATTTTCAGCCATTTTAGTTAACATTGATTTGTCCATTTGCCTTAAAACCTCTGTCGATAGGATTCCTGTTTTAGGTTATTTTTGTTCAACATCAATACAAAAAACTCCCCTATGACTCCTAGTCAAAAGTTTACTTTTTAGTTTGCAAAATGGTCGCCATTTTTGTCTCATGAAATTATCTTTTGGCCCATTTCTTAGCTTTACAAATAATTTCAGGTGTCCTGCACTATAAAAACCATGTCACTGAAAGAGTAGTTGTATAAAATAATTATGTTACGATAAATTGGCGAACAAAAAATTATATCTGTTTTTTATTTTCAGCCATTTTAGTTAACATTGATTTGTCCATCTGTCTCGTGAAATCCACTTTTAGACCATTTGCCTCAAAACTTTTGTCGATAAGATTCCCGTTTTAAGTGATTTTCGTTCAACATCAATACGAAAAACTGCCCTATGACTCCTGGTTCAAAAGCTCGCTTATTTTCAAGATGGTCACCATTATTATATCTAGAAATTCACTTTTGGACTATTTGGTAGCTTTCCAAATAAATTCAGGTGTCCTGTATTGTAAAAAGCCATGTCACTGTAATGGGTAGTTGTATGAAATAATTTTGTTACAAAACATCGGCAAAAAATTACATCAATTTTTTTATTTTCTGCCATTTTAGCCATCATTCACTTTTGAGCAACACCATGTGAGCCCAGTACCCTCGTTACTATTTTTGATGTAAACAAGTATTGCCTTAAACACTAGAAGCCTCCTTTTAACTTTTAGTTGTAAAATTTTCACATATTTTTGGGAATTCCAAGTCACATTTGCACACTGAATAAAATTGACGAAAATTGTGCACCACATTGGTTAATTGTCAGCCTTATCAGCATCTTACACTCATCTAGTAGGGCAGCAAATGAGAGATAACATCAATAGTAAAAGATTATTGATATCAAACCATTAAATACTGTTTTTTTATCTGTACCTCAAAGCAAAATGCAATTTGATGGCTCAGCTCAGAAAATCTGGCCTTCAAATGAATGACCATTTGATCTTGCACAGACCAATGGAAAAGGCTCTTTGACTATGGTCCAATTACAAGACTCATACCCAGTCAGATATCAGTTCAGCTCTTGTCCAATCACATGTCTCATACTGTATCGATTGGGAGGTAATCATCTTCCGGGAAGGAAGGAAACTTCTTTTAGAAATAGAATATCCTTTGTTTATTTACATTGTTTTGACCAAATAAAGTTAGTGCAGGTAAGATCTTTATCAGTGAATAATATAGCCGCTCGCCACCCTAGATTTGCAAAGGTTAGAGCCTAAAAGTCGAGTTTAAAAAGATGTGCACTTCCACTTTTTTCTGGTGTTCAATTTGAGGAAAGTGTCGAGTGATTTTAACATACTTTAGTACACAAAATAAATCTCTCGCCTTCAACTTCAGCGGTGCTGTAGAACCATGATTGTTATTGTTACTACAATGTTGTCATGCTCAGAACAAGTTGTGGTTCTATATACAGGGTGATCACTAAGTTCTGGGAATTTATCTGTCATTTCATTATTTTTCAACCAATTTACTTGACTTTTTCAAGGTAAATGGGGAATGTAATTTTGGGATGGATAAAACTGTTTCATTGTCATCTGATGTCACAATGGATAATTGTTGTTACAATAGCAACATGACAAATGGCGTAGCGGGTCAAGTAAAATAAAAATGAAAGCAAATTTTGCTTGATCCAAAAGTATGGTTGATAAATACCTATTTGGTGGACATATTTCTGTGATTTTTCATATTTTCAAATACTTCTATTACTTTAGTTCCTTAAGTAACATCTCTATTGTTATATAAGAGTGTACTTTGCGCTATTTTCCTATCATTCATCAGCATCTCAAAGTCACAATCATGACTCAAAATAGCGGGGAGTTATCTTCCATTATGACTATGCTCCTTCCCGTTATTCAAGCTGCTCATAGTACTCTTGAAGAATTAGGGTTCACACAAGTTATTACTGCCCCATATTCACCAGACAATATTCACCAGATGAAGCACCATTAGGCTTCACTACATTTTGGGTCCTATATAAGAGGTCATACATTTTATTCCGATAAAGGACTGATTTCAACGGCTTGAGCAAATCTTCAAGGGATCCCAAAGGGGCATGTGCGTCCAGGCTAATGGAAACAATTATAAATGAAATGATCCTCTTAGCTATGAAGAATACTTCTGAATAAATGACTTCAAGAGTACTGTTCTGCCTCTAGTATAAGTAGTTTCAAACAACCATCTAGGCAAGATGAATATGTTTTGCCAGGAAATTTTCAGATTAACATCAGTCAAAATTTGCTGACCCGTGGACCACTTTTACTTTTTTTGTAATAACAATAGAATAAATTGTCCGGAAGATAACTGGAATACTAGTTGTCAGATTTTCTTCATTTCTTCAACAAATCGTACAAAATGGCGGCCAAATACGATCACAACGAACATGTGGAGGAATTGGATTGCGATTTCGAGCTCTTTCGGCTCTTGGAAGCCGATAATGGTCATCGAAAATAGAAACTAGAATATTTTCTGAACTGAAAAATGAACATTCGATCGCTGCAAATTCAGTTTTGGATTCTGACCAGACGTTGAATCTCCACAGGGGCGAAGCGGCGGATTCCGGAGGAGTATTCATGGTATATTTATGCCCAGTCTTGTTTATTTATGTAAAAAATTCATGAGAACATTTTTTTCATGAGCCAGGCCAATGTCTCTTCTCTTTGTGAAAATTTTATCCAGGTTCATTCAGTAGTTATTGAAATATTAATTATTTAGTCCAGGCGTATCATTTTTTGCACTCTTTGAAAAATTAAGTCAGTCGCGTGGGATATATTTGCTGAATTAAGTTAGCATGCAGAAGGTTAAAGTATGGTTATATAATACTACAATGATCTCAGTTGAAGGGAAGAGTTAGATGGTAAACATTATATTGTGACTGTACAGATTTATGGTTTATATTGTGTTCGTTGGGATTTGCTACTCCGTGGAGTTGCTGATTTCTAGTTTTACTAGTCCAGGAAGAATGAATTTTATTTTATTTTGGGAATAGTAGATAAATGTATGGTGGATCTGATTAGAATAGTCATGAATAAGTGCATTAATAACAAGAGGAGGAAATTGCTTATTGGAATTATAATGAACCTTACCACTATCTGGAGTCGGGTTTCTCTTCTTTTTTTTCCTTCCTGATTTCACTTGTTCTGGAAGAATGAAGTTGATTTTATTTTGGGAATAGCAGACAGATGAAATGTGGATCTGATTAGAATAGTCATGAATAAGTGCATTAATAACAAGATGCTTGCAGGAGGAAGTTGCTTATTGGAATTGTAATGAACCTTACCACTATCTCCAGTCAGGTATCTCTGGTCTTCTTTCCTTGTGGATACCCTTGGTCCTGGAAGAATGAAGTTGATTTTATTTTGGGAATAGTAGATAAATGTATGGTGGATCTGATTAGAATAGTCATGAATAAGTGCATTAATAACAAGAGGAGGAAGTTGCTTATTGGAACTGTAATGAACCTTACCACTATCTGGAGTCGGGTTTCTCTTCTTTTTTTTCCTTCCTGATTTCACTTGTTCTGGAAGAATGAAGTTGATTTTATTTTGGGAATAGCAGACAGATGAATTGTGGATCTGATTAGAATAGTCATGAATAAGTGCATTAATAACAAGATGCTTGCAGGAGGAAGTTGCTTATTTAATCCCAACGAACGAAGTTCGGTAGGGATATAGTGAAGCCCTCCGTCCGTCAGTCAGTCAGTCCGTCCATCCGTCCGTCCGGAAGATAACTCAAATACGAGTTGACGGATTTTCTTCATATTTAGTGGAAAGATGTATATTGGTGAATAGTTGTACGCAAAAAAAATTTTTTCAAGATGGCCGCCGCTTTAAAAATGACGGGACTTTTTCGCAAAAATCATAAATTTTTCATTCTAAACCAAAGTAATTAATATTATTGTTAGAAATTTTGGTAGTATATTTGCAACATCTATCTATTTCACATATATTCCGTGTTTTTCATCCTGACCCCCAGGGGCCGTGTATGGTCAGGAAAACAGTAATTTTCGCTAATTTTTAGATCTTTCTGAAGTATAGCTTTATTATACTCAAATGAAAGGCAATTAAGAGTAGATTGCAAATATTGTATCTTTTTTCTGATTCGAGCCTCGTAAAATTCAAAATGGCTGTCTAATGTACGATTTCGCAATAATTTTTCGATTCCTTCAAAGTATGGCTATATTATACTCAAATTGAAGGAATTTTGGAGTAGATCACAATTATGGTATTATTCTTCAGATTTGTACCTCAGAAAATTCAAAATGGCTGCTTTGCAGGAATTCGCAATTCTAAAATCTAAATTTTTCAATTTTAACCAAAGTAATGAGTATAATTGATTGGAATTCGGTAATTGATATTTTGTTTGTTGGGATTTGCTACTCCGCGGAGTTGCCATTATCTAGTTGGAATTGTAATGAACCTTACCACTATCTCCAGTCAGGTATCTCTGGTCTTCTTTCCTTGTGGATACCCTTGGTCCTGGAAGAATGAAGTTGATTTTATTTTGGGAATAGTAGATAAATGTATGGTGGATCTGATTAGAATAGTCATGAATAAGTGCATTAATAAGAAGATGCTTGCAAGGAAGTTGCTTATTGGAATTATAATGAACCTTACCACTATCTGGAGTCGGGTTTCTCTTCTTTTTTTTCCTTCCTGATTTCACTTGTTCTGGAAGAATGAAGTTGATTTTATTTTGGGAATAGTAGATAAATGTATGGTGGATCTGATTAGAATAGTCATGAATAAGTGCATTAATAACAAGAGGAGGAAGTTGCATATTGGAATTGTAATGAACCTTACCACTATCTGGAGTCGGGTTTCTCTTCTTTTTTTTCCTTCCTGATTTCACTTGTTCTGGAAGAATGAAGTTGATTATATTTTGGGAATAGTAGACAGATGAAATGTGGATCTGATTAGAATAGTCATGAATAAGTGCATTAATAACAAGATGCTTGCAGGAGGAAGTTGCTTATTGGAATTGTAATGAACCTTACCACTAACTCCAGTCAGGTATCTCTGGTCTTCTTTCCTTGTGGATACCCTTGGTCCTGGAAGAATGAAGTTGATTTTATTTTGGGAATAGTAGATAATTGAATTGTGGATCTGATTAGAATAGTCATGAATAAGTGCATTAATAAGAAGATGCTTGCAAGGAAGTTGCATATTGGAACTGTAATGAACCGTACCTCTTTCTGGAGTCGGGTGTCTCTGGTCTTCTATCCTTCTCTTTTTCTGGTTTACTCTCATTCTGGATAGCCGTAGTCCTGGAAGAATGAAGTTGATTTTATTTTGGGAATAGTAGACAAATGAATTGTGGATCTGATTAGAATAGTCATGAATAAGTGCATTAAGAAGAAGATGCTTGCAAGGAAGTTGCTTATTGGAATTGTAATGAACCTTACCTCTATCAAAATCTATCTCTACTTTCGATACCATTCGTCCTGGAAGAATGAATTTGATTTTATTTTGGGAATAGTAGACAAAACACCCGGCATAAATTTTTGTGAAATCAAATTCATAAAATAGTGGAACTATATATTCTCACTATTTGATCAATAGAATAGTCACGAATAAGTGCATTGATAAGAAGATTCTTGCAAGGAAGTTGCTTATTAGAATTGTAATGAACCTTACCACTATCTCCAGTCAGGTATCTCTTATTTTCTTTCCTTCCTGATTTCACTTGTTCTGGAAGAATGAAGTTGATTATATTTTGGGAATAGTAGACAGATGAATTATGGATCTGATTAGATAGATCACGAAAAAGTGCATTAATAAGAAGATGCTTGCTGGAGGGTGTTGCTTATTGGAATTATAATGAACCTTACCTCTATGTGGAGCCGGGCATGTCTGGTCTTTACATTCTTATTTCACTGGTTCTTGAAAAATGAAGTGTATTTTATTTTGGAATACCATTAGATTTTATGAACTATCAAGAAAAAGTAAGAGGACACTGTCAGAGACACATGTACATGGACTTGTTAGTGTTTTGGCAAGGTGTTATATCTGCATAAAGAATTAAAAGGTAGTATTGTAAATAGGAAGGCATGGTCGCTGTTGAAGTTTGTCCACAATCTGGTTGCAAGAAGAACTTGCGGACAGAGAAAACACTATGATAAATTGAAATGTTACTTATGAAAAGATATAGCTACTCTATCAAACAAGGGCAACATGGGTATGGAACAGTTCAACGAATAGTTGGCAATGATCGAAAATGCATTTGATATGCTTAAAACAGGTACCAAGGAATGATTAAATTAAAGATCTAATAGCAAAGGTTTTGCAAAAATAAATCAATGTAGTATAAAACAAATGTATGTATAATGAAGAAATAAATATATAATGAAAAAATAGATATCTGTTTGTAATATTGGTATAAACTTAAGATTAAAAAGTGTCACTATCTCTTTCACTTTTCAACAAATATAGGCTCACGTGACATGTGACGCGGGGCAGGCAATTTTGATCTATCGTAGACCATATCAGTATCAAATTGCTGATATTTCAACCTCGTCTTGCGAGGCCATTTTGATTTGAAACATCTTGAATTTGGTGTCAAAATGAAGCTGGTCACGCCCACTTTCAGAGTTATCAATGAATCATTTACTACGACTACTATATTCATTTAGGACGCGTGTAAAGTTAACCAATCAGAAAGACAATTGTTCCATATATGGCAGTTCATTAACATATTCAGTGCTTACTACTGCTTTTCGCGTCATGACAACACGAGTAGTAACCAATCAAGATGCCGTATTTTATCACGTGAGTTCAGAGTGACACGCACGCGACATGTTGTCTGAGGTGATCGCGATGTTGAACAATTTCTTCTCGGAATTTGTCCAGAGAAATCAGCGATTCTAAATTAAGGTAGGATCTGCCATTTTTTCCTGTACAAGTTATAACTTATCTCTATCGAATCCTAAAGTTTTGGAAGAAGATATGAAGCGTAGGTTTAAAAACGAAGCGATTAATTTGACGATCTGATTTTGCAATTTGCAATGGCCAATTTACTGCAAGTCCAGTGCATGTATTTGACAAGAGATATCGCCAAGTCTTGTATCTAAATGCTTGTTAAGCCACTCAAAAACAAGATCCATATTTTCTAAATTTGATAACTTTGCAGAAAACCTGTTTTCATAATCTGTTTTCCGCGTCTAGATTCAAACTGAGTATGATAATAGGATCGCTGGAATCTTCAGTCAATGGCAACGGGTCTTCATTCCAGAACTCACATTTTTAGTTGATTCTCCGTCATAGTTCTTGTCTAAAGTCCCCATATCTGCTCTCTTACTGCCATACTTGCACACATTTCCCCTCCTTAAATAGGCTTCATTCAAATTACACCCTCTCGCCGATTTATATAGCCATTTCCCAGAACCCGGGAATCAGAATCGCTGATGTTTGCCATATTGAACATATTATATGTACTGTAATATCTGTACATTGCCTGCTACGCGTAATGGTCACGTGACTAGCGCGATACAGGAAAAATGGGGAATTTCGAAACAACAATTGTTGGGCACTTTTATTGCAAATTTCAGGTATTTATAAAGTGTTTGTGGTATAAAATATAATCCACAAACATAAATGAACATCCAAACTACATATTTCATTAAGTTTTGGAGCCTTTTTTGCTCTTAAATTAACATCTTTAACAAATTTATCTATTTTATACGTTATAATTTAACTGACCTGCCTACCCTAAATACAGGTTACCATGGCAACCTTATTTCAAAATTAATTTAAGATATATCTATAATATTTCAGCATTGTATGTGTAATTTCATCATCTACATGAAAGGAATTTGTGAAAAAATCACAAAATGAGAGCATTTTAATCAGAATATATGGATCGCCCCCCTGTATATAGGTCAAAAATGTATTTAATCATAATTTACCATCTCCAGCAGTATTTGCCAAAGATCAATACCAAGTTAACATAGTTCACTTTACTCTCACTCCCCTGCTCCTCCCATACGACTGTTAATGTGCTCTTATTTATACTTATTTATTTTTCTGCACTATTATTATTAGACTCCAGATTGAAAATCTGGAGTCTATTGTTTTTGCCTGTTTTCTTATTATTATTATTCTTTCTTCCTCCTAACAGATTTTCTCTCCAACTATAACATCTTACTTAATCCAACCTACATGGTTAACTAGGGAATGTATCTGGCTTTCTGGGAAATTAGGTCAAATTTTTATCTAGGTCAAAGGTCAAGAACTAGGTCAAATCCAGTACTTTGTCACTTTTTCCCATTATCTCGGTCGTCCTTCAATATTTTTGATCCGGGTTTTTTTCATTGTGTTCCTCATAAAAAAGTAGAAAAGCTAGGGTCGATTTAGTTTTTTGGTATCTCAAACCGATTTCGAGATATCAGTGTCCGAAAACGAGGTCCAAAAAAAAGTTCTCCGAATCCAATGTCCAGGATATCAGCCTTATAGGAAATTTTCTCAGGATACCGAATCTGAAAACCAAATTTCGATTTGACTCCCGGTTCAGAAGTTATGGCGTTTTGAAAATTCAAAAATCGCTAAATTTGGTTAATTCAATGGGAAAAAATATTTTTTTGAAGTGTAAAATACGAGATATAGACTAAGCACAGCTAAACATAATGGAAGCCCATAAAAGAAAGGGACCACAAGACCTTCTTTTCATAAAAATTTGGACACCAAAATGCCTAGGTCAAAATCTAGGTCAAATTCAAAGTTTTTCCTTATTTTTGCGATTCTGACACTACAGATTAATTATATTCTTCGAAATTTTTTATACATGTAGCCAAGAGTGTGCTTATAGTGTTAGCCTTTTGCCGTCAGAAAGTATTTTGACCCACTTTTGAGATATGGTGTCCGAAAAGTAGGTCAAACTGAAAAGTTCTCCAAATTTTACGTATGAGTTATGAATTAAGGGTAGAATTTTCTCAGAAATCCAAATCTGCAATCCAAATTTCAATCCGACTTTTGGTTCGGAAGTTATGTCGTTTTGAAAGCTCAAAAATCGCTAAATTTGGTGCTCCATGTTATGGCAATGGGAAAAAGATTTTTTTGAAGTGTAAAATACGAGATATAGACTAAGTACAGCTTTACATAATGAAAGCCTATAAAAGAAAGGGACCTCAAAACCTAGCTAGCTTCACAATTTGGACACCAAAATGCCTAGGTCAAAATCTAGGTCAAATTTATAGTTTTAACTTATTTTTGCGATTCTGACACTACACTTTAATTATTTGCTTCAAAATTTTGGATACAGGTAGCAAAGAGTGTGCTAATGGTGTTAGCCTTTTGCCGTCAGAAAGTATTTTGACCCACTTTTGAGATATAGTGTCCGAAAAGTAGGTCAACATGAAAGTTTCTCCAAATTTAACGTATGAGTTATGAATTAAGGGTAGAATTTTCTCAGGAATCCGAATCTGCAAATCAATCCGACACTCGGTTTGGAAGTAATGGCGTTTTGAAAAATTAAAAAAAATCGGTATTTTGATATCCCATGTTATGTCAATTATCTTTGTCACTATTCACTATTAGTCTTTTTTGATTACTCTTACCGATTTTGAGGAATGGCGTCCGGAAAGTAGGTCAACACAAAAAGTTCTCAAAATTTAATGTATGAGTTATGACACAAACGTAGAATTTTCTCAGAAATTCGAATCTGCAAACCAAATTTCGACCCAAATTCTGGTTAGATAGTTATAGTTGTTTGAAGTCTCGAAAAGTCGATATTATGATATCCCCATGTTAAGCCAATGGAGACAAAGATAACTTACTTAAGAGTTGTCTAAATGTCTGTATTCTAGATGACTCAGCTTATTCTGAATGGCTCAGCTTACAGTATTTTGGATGACTCAGCTTAAAAAAAGTTTTAAATCTGGAGTCTTAAATTGAACTTGTTCAATTTACATGTCTAGTTATACATGTATTCAATTTATCTTTAACCAAGCAGTATATACACCTTTTTATGGTGTCCATAAAAAAGTTTCTAGTTAGAATTGTACTAAACCTTACCGTTTAGAATATCCTCTTCAGAATCTGGAGCATCATCTGCTTTAAACATTTTGTGTTTCTTCTGCTTATGATCTAAAAATGTTTTCCTACCTGCAAATAAGCCTTTTGGCGCAGCCTCTACTTCAACTGATGCCATTCTGAAGTCAAGTGAATTTTATGTTTTATCTTATTAATTTTAATTGCTTTCCTTCATTAATTTTCATTTTCTCATTTTCCTCGTATCACACTTATTAAACTAGTGATTATGTCCGTATTTTTATGGAAACAATTCCTCCTTTTTTCTCCATGCAAAGTGTTGAGAAATATGTTATTGTTCTTCTGGAAAATCTACAATCTCTGTTACTCTTCAGTGATTCCACTTCAGTTCATGTATTAGATTTTGTGCTACATATTATGCACCACATGACTGTACAGTTAGTCAATGGCAAAATGTTGCCAATGTCCCATTGTGCATTGATAATATTGTGTTCTAAAGCATTATATGATTTATTTTATATTTATTGCAATCATGTGTCAAACCAGTCTATTTATCTTTTTAATTTACAAATATACATGTAGAGTACAGGGGAACACAAAATTCAGACTGGTAATTTTCTCTTAAAACTTAAATACTTTCAGACTTGAGGTAGTATTGGTTTCATTGGTTAGAAATAAATGGACATACCTGATCAACTTCAAAATTTTACAGATGCTAGATAAGCTAGTGCCAACATCTGATTAGGTTCTAGGCTTGCTCAAGGTAAACTACACAGCAGCCATTTTGAATTTTTCCTCACAATGGCCATTTTGAATTTCGAATAAATCTTGTCATCAGAACTTGAAACACATTTACATTTACATGCACACAGTTTGAAATCTGCCATTTTTGAATAGGCGCGCAGTTTATTGACTATAATTTATTGACTAGATTGATAATGTCATTGGTTGTAGGTAGAAATCTGTCCATGAAAAATAGTATTAACTTATTGCTAATTTTGAACAATTGCAACCAATGACATCATGAATCTAGCTAGTATATTGTATTTTCTGTGTGGATAAAAATATGGCATGATTTATAGGAAACATCTAATGGTTAAAATTCAAAAACGTCCCCTTTTACATTTATGGAAATCAATGAATCTTCTTTAGAACTTACTCCTGTGAGTAAGAATGAAATCGAAAATTTAATGTCAGTTTTAAAAGATTGCTCACCAGGCCTAGATGAATTCAAACCAATAGTAGTTAAACATGCAAGAAATAACTTACTTTTACCATTTGTTCATATAGCAAACTTGTCTATCCATACAGGGGTTTTTCCCACTAAGTTGAAAACAGCCAAAGTTATCCCACTTTTTAAAAAAGAAAATACTTCAAAATTTTCAAACTATAGACCTATATCTCTACTTAGTGTCTTTTCTAAACTCTTAGAACAGATCATGAAAAATAGATTAATAACATTTATTGAAACATACAAACTTTTATTCAAAAATCAGTTTGGTTTTAGAAAACATTATTCAACTTATATGGCAATCCTCTCCTTCTTGGAAGAAGTGAGGATATCTCTAGATAAAAGCTCAACTCATGCTATTGGAATATTTTTAGATTTATCGAAAGCCTTCGATACAGTAAATCATGAAATTCTTCTAAAAAAACTTGAAAATTTTGGAATTCGCAATGTCGCAAAAAATTGGTTTGAAAGCTATTTATCTGATAGGAAAATCATTACTTCTTTTAACAACACTCTATCTGAAGAAAATATTATCACTTGTGGTGTACCTCAAGGGTCTGTTTTAGGTCCCATCTTATTCATTCTCTATATAAATGATTTACATAAGGTTTCAAATATTCTTAAATTTACTATTTTCGCAGATGATACAAATATCTTATGTTCAAACAAAGACCTTCATGATCTATATAGAAATGTAAATCTAGAAATGGAAAAGACATTAGAATGGTTCAAATCAAATAAACTTTCTTTGAATATAGACAAGACAAATTATATGCTATTTACAAGATCAAAGTTAAATATTGATGAAAATCAAGATTTTAATATAAAAATAGGGGGTAATATTCTTGAAAGAGTAATGTATACAAATTTTCTGGGAGTAACAATTGATTGTAAATTAAAATGGAATGAGCACATAAATAAGGTTATACATAAAATATCTAAAATTATTGGTATTCTGGGAAAAATTAAATATAAATTGAATACAAAAACCATGATTACCATTTATAATTCACTTATATTATCACAATTGAACTATTGCAACATCATATGGGGTAATGCATGTAAAACCTTTTTGAATAAATTGCTTTTGTTACAAAAACGTGCAGTGAGAATAATCACAAATTCTGACTTTTTAGCACATAGCCCACCTCTTTTTAAACAACTCAATTTTCTAGATATTTTTGACATACATAAGCTTGAAGTTGCAAAATTTCTTTATCAATACACAACAAAACCCGATGGCTTTCCTTTTGACATATTTGAAAATTATTTTACTCCAAATTTGATATTTCATGAACATGAGACAAGATTCCAAAATTGCCTTCACATGAAAAAATTTAGAACAATTATAGGTCAAAACTCAATAAAATATTTAGGTGCTCAGCTTTGGAATTATCTGCCAACTTCTTTGAAAACATTACCTTCCATTAACTGTTTTAAAAAGAATTTTAAAATTCATATGACATCAACCTATTCTGAACTGAATTACTGACAAACATATATGTAGATTTTATATATTGTTATCAATTTTATTCTCATTTAACTGAGTAAATATTTTTAAATTGTTCTTTTTTTCTCATTTCCATTTGACTCAGGTTAATATTTAAATGTTTTCACGCTGATACACTTATTAAAAGTGTCAAGTGTTATTATGTATTTGATTTTAATTTTAGAGAATAAATATTTTTAATAAAAAAAAAAAAATGCAAATTAGTGCCAACATTTGATTAGGTTTTCGGCATTGACATGCTATGTAAACAACATGGTGGCCATTTTGAATTTTTATTGCACTTTTTTCGAGTGCATGTACTATAAATTGCTTTTATATTCTTTCAGGCTTTAAATCTACCCCAAACTTACAAGAAGGGTAAACTTTTAGCTTACAGACTGCTGTGTGAGTTAACTATACGTCGCCATGACAGCATACTGGGGATGGATCACCTGTCACAATTCTACAGGGTGCTACACTACAGTCTGGTTGACTCTGATCAGGTTTGGTACACATTATTCCATTTTGCTCACCCTGTATTTCTAAAAACACTCTTTGTAAAGAGTAATGTATTCTCAGAATAACTGAGGCTTTTTGTATTAGGTAGTGTTGGTATTGTGATAAAATATGGTATTTAACTTCATTTTTGACCATTAACTATTTATGTAATATTTTGATGAAGTTTTATATTATAATGTGAAGATTTTGTCGCTGCTGAACATGTTGCTACTTGATTATGTCAAACAATTTAATTACATGGTTATTAAATTAAGTATCAATAATTAGATACATACAATTTTGATTGATGATGAAGCATTAAGATTTTGTATCCGATAAATTTTCTTTTCTATATTCTAGGATGTTATAAATGAGTTGGTGCAGGGATGTGGACTGAAGTTTTTCTCCACACCCCTTGATGGTAACACTATGCTTATGTTAGACTTCATACATGCCGCAAGCACAGTGGTTGCTAGCACCAATGTTAAAGAGGTAAGTGCTACATAAACACATAAATAGCAAACATTCGATTTGAAGTGACTATAAAATAGCTTTTTGGATACTTTTAAAAATAAGAAAAATAGAAGTGTGTTATGAATCATACTTGTACCATATCTTGTTTTCATATAAATTAGAGTTGAAGTTGTTAAAAGATTGTTGATTAATTTCAAGAAAATATTTTTAGTTTGCTTAGATTTTATGTTAACTCTGTGGATTGTATCTACATTTAAAATCAAACATGGAGGCCATAATGTGAAAAACAAAATACCATTTGAGACTTAATCTGGAAAGTGATTTACATGAGAGACATCTATAAAAACAGAATTTCAAAGTGCAGTAAAACGTTTGTGTTTTACATTTGTTCATTCAAAGTCATCTTTCATTCTCTCAATGCACTTTCTTATAGACACCAAGAGCTGAGCTTATATCCCTGCTTGGTTCACTACTGTATTTTCCTAACCAATTTAGAGAGACGCCTGTATTAAAGCATTTAACAATGAAATCATGTTTTATTACTTCCAGACACCAAGAGCTGAGCTTATATCCCTGCTTGGTTCACTACTGTATTTTCCTAACCAATTTAGAGAGACGCCTGTATTAAAGCATTTAACAATGAAATCATGTTTTATTACTTCCAGAGACTAAGAGCTGAGGCTATATCCCTGCTTGGTTCACTACTGTATTTTCCTAACCAATTTAGAGAGACGCCTGTATTAAAGCATTTAACAATGAAATCATGTTTTATTACTTCCAGACACCAAGAGCTGAGCTTATATCCCTGCTTGGTTCACTACTGTATTTTCCTAACCAATTTAGAGAGACGCCTGTATTAAAGCATTTAACATTGAAATCATGTTTTATTACTTCCAGACACCAAGAGCCGAGGCTATATCCCTGCTTGGTTCACTACTGTATTTTCCTAACCAATTTAGAGAGACGCCTGTATTAAAGCATTTAACAATGAAATCATGTTTTATTACTTCCAGACACCAAGAGCTGAGGCTATATCCCTGCTTGGTTCACTACTGTATTTTCCTAACCAATTTAGAGAGACGCCTGTATTAAAGCATTTAACAATGAAATCATGTTTTATTACTTCCAGACACCAAGAGCTGAGCTTATATCCCTGCTTGGTTCACTACTGTATTTTCCTAACCAATTTAGAGAGACGCCTGTATTAAAGCATTTAACAATGAAATCATGTTTTATTACTTCCAGAGACTAAGAGCTGAGGCTATATCCCTGCTTGGTTCACTACTGTATTTTCCTAACCAATTTAGAGAGACGCCTGTATAAAGCATTTAACAATGAAATCATGTTTTATTACTTCCAGACACCAAGAGCTGAGCTTATATCCCTGCTTGGTTCACTACTGTATTTTCCTAACCAATTTAGAGAGACGCCTGTATTAAAGCATTTAACAATGAAATCATGTTTTATTACTTCCAGAGACTAAGAGCTGAGGCTATATCCCTGCTTGGTTCACTACTGTATTTTCCTAACCAATTTAGAGAGACGCCTGTATTAAAGCATTTAACAATGAAATCATGTTTTATTACTTCCAGACACCAAGAGCTGAGCTTATATCCCTGCTTGGTTCACTACTGTATTTTCCTAACCAATTTAGAGAGACGCCTGTATTAAAGCATTTAACATTGAAATCATGTTTTATTACTTCCAGACACCAAGAGCCGAGGCTATATCCCTGCTTGGTTCACTACTGTATTTTCCTAACCAATTTGGAGAGACGCCTGTATTAAAGCATTTAAAATTGAAATCATGTTTTATTACTTACAGACACAAAGAGCTGAGGCTATATCCCTGCTCAGTTCGCTAATGCTAATGTGTTTTCCTAACCAATTTGGAGAGATGCCTGTATTAAAGCATTTAACATTGAAATCATGTTTTATTACTTACAGACACAAAGAGCTGAGGCTATATCCCTGCTCAGTTCGCTAATGTGTTTTCCTAACCAATTTGGAGAGATGCCTGTATTAAAGCATTTAACAATGAAATCATGTTTTATTACTTCCAGACACCAAGAGCTGAGGCTATATCCCTGCTTGGTTCACTACTGTGTTTTCCTTACCAATTTGGTGAGATGCCTGTATTAAAGCATTTAACAATGAAATCATGTTTTATTACTTCCAGACACCAAGAGTTGAGGCTATATCCCTGCTTGGTTCGCTACTGTGTTTTCCTTACCAATTTGGAGAGATGCCTGTATTAAAGCATTTAACAATGAAATCATGTTTTATTACTTCCAGACACCAAGAGCTGAGGCTATATCCCTGCTTGGTTCACTACTGTATTTTCCTAACCAATTTAGAGAGACGCCTGTATTAAAGCATTTAACATTGAAATCATGTTTTATTACTTCCAGACACCAAGAGCCGAGACTATATCCCTGCTTGGTTCACTACTGTGTTTTCCTTACCAATTTGGTGAGATGCCTGTATTAAAGCATTTAACAATGAAATCATGTTTTATTACTTCCAGACACCAAGAGCTGAGGCTATATCCCTGCTTGGTTCACTACTGTGTTTTCCTTACCAATTTGGTGAGATGCCTGTATTAAAGCATTTAAAATTAAAATCATGTTTTATTACTTCCAGACACCAAGAGCCGAGGCTATATCCCTGCTTGGTTCACTACTGTGTTTTCCTTACCAATTTGGAGAGATGCCTGTATTAAAGCATTTAACATTTAAATCATGTTTTATTGCTTCCAGACACCAAGAGCCGAGGCTATATCTCTGCTTGGTTCACTACTGTGTTTTCCTAATCAATTTGGAGAGATGCCTGTATTAAAGCATTTAACATTTAAATCATGTTTTATTGCTTCCAGACACCAAGAGCCGAGGCTATATCTCTGCTTGGTTCACTACTGTGTTTTCCTAATCAATTTGGAGAGATGCCTGTATTAAAGCATTTAACATTTAAATCATGTTTTATTGCTTCCAGACACCAAGAGCCGAGGCTATATCTCTGCTTGGTTCACTACTGTGTTTTCCTAATCAATTTGGAGAGATGCCTGTATTAAAGCATTTAACATTTAAATCATGTTTTATTGCTTCCAGACACCAAGAGCCGAGGCTATATCTCTGCTTGGTTCACTACTGTGTTTTCCTAATCAATTTGGAGAGATGCCTGTATTAAAACCCAAATCTGTTGATATAACACACCTCACAGCAAGTGACTCAAAGGATCATATTATAACAATGCTATTGAAGGCAGGAAAGAAGGAACCAGCTGGTCTGGCCAGGTATGTAATGTTGTACCATTTTCTAGTATATAGGAGTGTAGGGAGCATATTGATTGAATTGCAACTGAAATTGTGAATTGATATAGCCAGAGCATTATCTTAATTTCAGAATTTTAAAAGTGACTGTAGTTTGATAAAAACTTGAAAGTATGTGAGCCATGTTAATTGAATGGCTTGTGTATTCTAAAATAAAGGGTTAAGTGATTTGATTTTACTTTATATATGTGTATTAATGTTTTATATATGTATATTTCAGATGTATTGCCATCAGTAGTCTTGGTGTGTTCTTATATGAGGAGCTAACACATAGAACAATGCACTGTAGATTGAAAGAAGCCATTAATGTTTTATATATGTATATTTCAGATGTATTGCCATCAGTAGTCTTGGTGTGCTCTTATATGAGGAGCTAACACATAGAACAATGCACTGTAGATTGAAAGAAGCCATTAATGTTTTATATATGTATATTTCAGATGTATTGCCATCAGTAGTCTTGGTGTATTCTTATATGAGGAGCTAACACATAGAACAATGCACTGCAGATTGAAAGAAGCCATTAATGTTTTATATATGTATATTTCAGATGTATTGCAATCAGTAGTCTTGGTGTGTTCTTATATGAGGAGCTAACACATAGAACAATGCACTGCAGATTGAAAGAAGCCATTAATGTTTTACTAGTCACTCTTAGGGTAAGTAACATGACATTATAAAAGTAAGAGAAAGAGAAAAACAATGGAATATATTTCTGCACTAAAGCGATTCACATACTTGTACATTATCTATAAATGAAGTTTTTCAGTAAATAGTACACTTTTCAGTTTGGCCAAATCCATTCGAAGCTAAACCAAAACTAAAACCTTGTCCAATTGAACTGTGAAAGGTAAGGTTTAAAACATCCTCATACTGTAGGGTGCACTTGTACTTGTTTATGTTGTAGTTCAATCAGAAGAATGTTGCTCAGGTAGCAGCAGACATGTTATTATTGCTATGTGACCATGTAGATGCTCTACTCAACCATCAGCCAGACTTACAAAGATACTCATACTTGAACTTGTTTATGTTGTAGTTCAATCAGAAGAATGTTGCTCAGGTAGCAGCAGACATGTTATTATTGCTATGTGACCATGTAGATGCCCTACTCAACCATCAGCCAGACTTGCCAAAGAGAATTATTGAGGTAATGTATTATTCAATGAGTTTGAACCTATGAATAAACCTATGAAAGGAAGCTTTCATTGAAGTGAAGTATTATTCAATGAGTTTGAAATTTCACAAGATTTGATATGCACATTTGATATTTATACAAAACAAGACATACTGCATTGGGATACAGAATCTGTATTACTGTATCACACATGTTTTGGACGCACATAATATTAATGATGGTAAGCTTGGCAGTAATATTATAATAAAACAATTTTTAGTCAATTTTTGGTGAATACCTGTGACACTTTCACATGATGATACTCCACTAGCAATTTGGGCTTCCTGGAATATCACTTGTGAAAGGGTCATTCTCACCAACTGAATTTAGCAGTCCAGTTTCTAATCAATGAATAACCATACCAATGTATACAATATTGTCAAACATTTGCTTCATATGTGCAGATTCAGACATAGTTGAAACTTTGAAATATTCTTCATTCTAGGTCACAGCATCCACTATATCATCCCTTCTACCAGGACTAGAGCACAGTCATGAGGATGATAAGACACTCATGGTGTCTATGATATTCTGTTTGCTTGAGTGGACCATGAGGGTCCCTATAGAGATGCTACTAGGTCTCACAGAGTCAAATACAACTCTTATATATAAAGTTTTTCGGGTAAGATACAATTATTGATTTAAAGCATTCTCATTTCTTCATCACCTAATACCACATTCAAGTGAATATGGTACTTATTGGCTCACACAGTGAGCCTATGGGATCGACCAGGCATCCATCTGTCCGTTGGTCTGTTCGTTGTTTTTAAGTTAGTGTGAAATGTTCCAACAATCTCTGGGGTGTTAGTTTAGTTTGGATATAACGACAGTCTTTTAAAGGATACTTCTTATTTCACCACCTATAGAAAATGTATGACATTTCAGCAAAGATGTATGACATTTCAGTAAAAATGTATGATATTTCAGTAAAAATCTATGGCATTTCAGTCTCATAGTTTTCTAAAAGTAGTATATTTCACATGTTTATATTTTAAACGTTTCCAGGTGCTAAATCTTGCAGTAAATGGAGTCAGTCCACATGGAATGTCATCAAAAGCCAGCGTGGCCTCATTCTCAGAACTTATTCAAGATGATGAATTTGATTCATTACGTGATGGAACAATGACGCCAAACACGCCAAAAACTCCCAACGACCATATTGATATTATTAAAGGCCATAGAAGGGCTGGTTCAGATATTCCAAAAATTACTGAAAACAATATTGTAAAACTAGCTGCTAGGACTGCGCTGTCGCATTTAGTTAACCACTTGGGACATTTTCCAATGGGGAGTGGTGCTGGTAGATTGAACAGCGAAGTTCAGGAACAGCATGACTCGGCAGCTAAACAAATGGAAGATCTCAATACTGAGATATTTAGTCAAAATAATGTGCAGTTCTTTGTACTGAACAATTCAACTCTAGTCTCGTTTGTTGAGGTTCCTGCTATGGTTTGTATAAGCTCTTTCTGTTCTTATATACTCCTCAAAAAAAGTTAAGGACCAGTGGTTTTCCTCATAGGTTTACATGTTAACCCCCATATTTGTTTGAACGACTATTTTCTAAGAGGGGAACAAAAGAAATCGCAATACAGAAAATAAATCTGTATCTTGATTCTATTCCCTATAAAGTCTGCAACATTTCAATGTTATATCTCCATTACATTGGGTCAAAATTTGATGTCAAAATTGATGAATTTCATGAAATTTAACAAAAATGGCAGATCCCATGTTAAATCCTAACTTAACCTGTATTGATCAAAATGTGTGAAATATTCCTTTTTAAGTAGATAATAATTAATTTTCTACAGGTTGACATGTAATTTTTGAATTTTCAACAGTTTGCTCCAATGCTGTGGATGTTTAATTTTGTTGTACAAAGTTTTAAATTAGATCTATTTGATCACAATGTCTTCGTTTTGTTAACGATATCCTGTAGAGAAGACAGGGAGACTAATAGTGATATTTCCACTCAGGCAACTTCCCTTTTGAAAAGTCTTGGTGTAGTCTGTACATCATAATCTTTGTTTTTCTTAGGATATGCCAGGAGGTGGGGTTACTGCAGGGTTAACAACTGCCAAAACAGTTACAAGGGCAATCATTAGGGATAGTTGTGGTAAATTCTGCTGGGACAGCTCTATACTCTATGGACCCCCTAGGTGCAGAGCAGGGTCATTCCCAGAAGGTATGATTGTGTCCAGTATATGAGCATATTTATATGACATGAATATCCTTAATGTGGCAGTGAAGACTTTATTCAATAATATGCAATATCATGCATGGACTGAAGAAAATCTTCAAGTCTGTTGTGTATGAGGCTTTATTGAAGTAATTTTGATGATGTGCTATTCTATCAAACTCTTCTATAAGGAGGTAAGAGTTCAACCTTTATATATGCAATATACTGTGTCTAGTAATGTAATGGATCTATGTTACATATACAACTGTAGATTACTGAGTAATATATTGCATGTTGCAGAGCCACAGCCAAGATTTCATGTTGGGGATCGTAAAAGTCTAACAGAGGAGGTGCTAGGGGAGTTCCAGGCAAAGTATGACAGACATATCACAGTGGTACGCAATCCCACTGAACTACCAGACTACAGCACTACTCAGGACCACCACGATAACCTCAATGATGTAAGTACTGAAAAGCATGCAATTTTATAATATTCTTTCGTGATTTATAGATCTTATTCGAACATATATTGCAGAGATGCTTATCACCTAGAACATCAAATACGGTTTGCCTAAATTCAAGAATTTATGAAAATGGGAACAAATGAGAAAAACTTGACTTTCTTGGCATTTTTTTGTCTTAAGCTACACATGTTAAAAAGCAGGAAAACTTATTCTTACATTTATACAGCTGCTTCAATACATTGGACACACAAGCCATGAATGTCTGCTACACCCTGAGGAGGCCCTCAATATCCCACCTGCAGCACCTAGCTCCCTGAAATGTCTATGTATAGTCCTGTATTAATAGTCTTAATCTTATGTTTAGCTGCTGCAATACATTGGACACACAAGCCCTGAATGTCTGCTACACCCTGGGGAGCCCCTCAACATCCCACCTGCAGCCCCCAGCTCCCTGAACTGTCACCTTGAGAGCAAGATGGTGTCCACTGTACTCACTCAGAGAGATGAGGAGATGGACTATTTCATGAAACACAAAGCTGACAATAGGTAAGTTGAGAGTTGAGTGGTGACATATTGTTACAGAGTCTCAAACTTTTTGTAATGATTGTTATATTTCAGATGTTTTCAATAGCTTAAACAAATCCAGTTGTTATATTTATTTTTGTTTATTTACAGTCAATCCCAAAATGACATTTATTCTATTCCAGCATGGTTGCCCAGCCTCTCACGCCATCTATTAGTAAAGATGAGAACTCTCCATTTCATCTGTGTAGGCACATGGTCAACCAGCTAGGCCTTATGTCTTGGGGGAAACGGTAAGCCTGGAGTACTACTATATTTTGTGCATTATTAAAACCACTCTAAAATGTTTAGTTTTGATTGAGGTATTTTTTTTAAATATTCATATACCAGAAAGAGAGCCTACAAGGGAAACATGAAATGAAAAATATTTTAAACCAATAAAATATCAACTATTTCTTTTTGGAACTAGTTTAAAAGTGTATTTCCAAATCCTATATAGAATATCCATTATACAAATGGAAATGCTTGAGATAGTTTCTTCATGTATTTTCATCTTCACTGCATGCCATTGATTGTTCGAGACACTGTTGCTATAGCCTCCAAATTTTTGTGGACAGTTTTTGAAATTCGATGGTTGGTGCTCAGCAGTCGGTGTCCAAGAAATGCAGGTGGTGACATTTTGTATGATGAAACCTTGTTTGTAATTGCAGTGCTCAAGTTGATCTGCTGAAGAAAAATGAGAAATTACTAAGAGAGTTGAAGCACTTGGATTCACAACGGTGGTGAGTTGGGGGCATTTGTCATATTCTTCCAGATTGAGACTTTGTACATAAGAGAATTATTGCAGTTAAGATAAATAACATCTGGTCCCATGTAGAATATCTAAGATATATACAGGGTGTCAAATAAGTCCCGTCCCCCCCTCTACAGCCAAATCCAAGATATTTGGTACCAAGTGTGATATATCATTGGAAAGGTCTTCCAAAGTTACGTTGATTGGCATATATCTGACACATGTCAATCAAGCTCACCAATTTTTACATTGTATCAATTGAGGTGACCATATGCCTAGAAACATGGCAATTTGGCGTATTTGGCCGGATTTTAAGAATCGGGTATTGGAAAGGTCAAGGGACCAAAAGATGACTAAATATGTTTATGGCGATGAATTTAAGCAATTTCTGGATAGGGTTAGATGTTCAGAAAATAAAGGTGCAAGGAAAGTTGTGAAAACCTTTTCGTAACAAGTAAAATGCGAAAAAGATGAACTTTTTGACGTATTTCTGAGGTCATATCCTTGTCATTTTGACGCAAAAAAGCTACTAAAAGGAGGGCATGTTAACTATAAAAGACATAATAAAAATATAGGTAAATTTCATTCAAAATACTTGAGAGTTGGTGAGTTAACATAACTTTGGATGATCTTTCCAATGGTATATCACACTAAGTGCCGTCTGTTAAGGTTCTAGCTGTAGCAGGGGGGACGGGACTTATTTGACACCCTGTATGTTGTCCAAAGATGTCAATACATGTATATCTATGCCATTAAACTGCAAAAGGTTAATATGCCCATTTGAAGCAGATTCCTAATTTAACAGTTTATGAATTTTTTGATTAACCTCTTGACTACCCAGAATGACGAGATTTCACGTTACCTTTAAATGACCTTGAAACCCAGAGGGACGAGAAAATCTGTCACAAAATTTTTCATAAAAATTGCTCTTATTTGAACAATTTTCATCCAATTTACAAAAAAATTGTTTTAAAACGTGTAGAAATGATCTCTGCCATCTGATTTTACTAAGTTGAGCATCTAAAGTTGTATAGGTATGAAAACAAATGTCAAAAGGTGGCAAAAATGAAAAATTCTCTGGTTTCAAGCAATTTTAGAGCCTCAGGATTCAAGAGGTTAAACGAATATGTGAGTGATACATTTAGTTGGTATCAACAGAAAACACAACACAAATTAATTATTTAAAGAGTAGAATTCAGATCTTCTTGTTTATATTTCTATGCATTATTTATTGATAGGTACATGTATTATTTCAGCCGTGAGACCCACAAGATTGCAGTGTTTTACATAGGGCCAGGTCAGGAGGATAAACAGAGCCTGCTCTCTAATAAAGGAGGTAGTAAACAGTACGAGGACTTCCTGGCTGGTCTAGGATGGGAGGTATATAACATTGAAAATGATCTAACCTACTTACAATATTAAAAGACTCTGATTTTGCCCTTGCTCCATCCCTTGTTATTTCGCCTCTGGCCTACAATTTGTGTGCCATTTCTTAGTCTGCTTCTGGTCATCAGCATCTTCAGATGGAAGTCACTTTTGATTTTAGTTTATTTCTTGCTTTTCATACATATGGAATGCATGTTACATACATGTCACACTAAGAAATGTTTACTGAATATTTGAAGGAGAGACTCCAAAATTAAATGAAAAATTTTATATTTATTCAGGTTGACCTAGAAACTCACTGTGGGTTCCTAGGTGGGCTTCAGCGTAACAAATCCACAGGCACCAGTGCCCCCTATTATGCCACATCAACACTAGAGGTGATATTCCATGTGTCGACAAGGATGCCTTCCGACACTGAGGATGAGAGACACAGAAAGGTATGTACAATGAAATAATTCAATATATGTAAATAATAAGTTCATCATCATCATATCCAATCTTATACAGTGTATAAACATACATGTGACCATTTTTGTAATATTGTGCACATGCATACTGGCATACTGTAAATCGGTGTGCCAGATATCTTTTAAAATATATTTTGATGGGATTTTGATGGAATTTTACTTTTTTTTATGCTATTCCATTAAGTGCCCCCTATTATTATCAACATGGACTTTCAAGACTCTACAAATTCCATATTATGAGCTACTAAGTAGATGGAATTACAAAATGACTTGTAAGATTTCCTTCAACTTATCTCCAATTAAATACTTTAGATGATTAATTTGTACTGTACCTAACATGATTGTGTTGTAATATTTTTTGTCATTAGTTGCGCCACTTGGGCAATGATGAGGTTCACATAATATGGTCAGAGCATACAAGAGACTACAGACGTGGTATTATACCTACTGAGTTTGGTGATGTCATCATTGTAATCAGCCCTCTGCACAATGGCCTTTACAGGATACACATAGACAGGAAACCAGAGGTACATTCAAATGTCAGTTAAAATTTTTTAAATGATACTTGATTTATTTGTGATATTCCAAAATGTTTTGCCATTCAAACACTTTATGTCACCACCACAAGTGTTATAGTCTCCAATTTTTTGTGGAATGTGTTCGGCATTTGGTGGATGGTGGTTGGTGGTGAGTTTGACATCTGTAACAAATGGCATGTGGTGACATTTTGCATGTTATTGCCTTGTTATTTCATGTATTCCAAATAATTGAAACATGATATAGAATTACAAAATGAAATCAGTAAAAGATTTTGGGGATACATGTATTTAATAAAGTATTCATACAAGTATGATGTCTTAATATTGTAGGTGCCATACTTTGGTCCATTGTTTGATGGTGCTATTGTTGACCATGCTATCCTACCAGGCCTGGTCAGGGCTACAGCTATCAATGCAAGCAGAACTAAACGTGCCACTATGCCCTACTATATGGCATTGTATCCTTTACTAATTATACATACTATGTTATTATGTTGAGGTCATCTAAGTAGTTAATAGTGCTGGTAGACTGTAGCTAAGATGGATTAAGATCTCCAAAGCCTCAGAATAGAGTGCTAAAATAGTTTGGAAAATATTGTAAAGAAAGATCAACCATACTTCAGAACCTGAATTTTCCTAAAGCTAATGTGAGAGTATGCCTAGCCTAGACTGAGTGTTTTTCTTTAAATATCTGTGAGTACATAACTTTTTGACCAATTGAACTCGCTACTAAAAAACAAGAGGAATCCATTATTACTGACAAAATTATTCCATAATAGAGGGCTGCTGTTTTGGTTAACCCTGTACGTGTATGAGAAGTCTTGGAAACTTGTATTGAAGCATACCACAGTTTTGTGTTGAATTCATATTCAATCTCAATCAATGGCTAAATAACTAAATAGATTCCTTCACAGTGTTTAGCTATGAGGAGAGGACCAAGTACTTAGAGACTCTTATACAACAACATAAACAAGCCACTATGTTTGAGGAGTTTGCTGGTCATGTCTTTGCACCAGTCTTAGCACCAGGTTTGAAACCATACTTTGATTTTTACTTATCCTTACTATAACTTCTAAATATATGAAGTATAAATATACAAGTATTTTCTTTTTGAATTATAGTCATAAAATAATACTTAAAAATATTCTACAAATAGTATTGAAGAACTTTACTTAAATTTAGTACCTAACTTAAATTACTTAAATTTGTAGGTTCTCAAATTACGAATAAGTGTTGTTTTGTGGGTGTTGTGACAAATCACATTGTTGTTTTGTAGGTTCTGACATCACTGGTATGGACTTCAGTTTACCATCTCCCACTTCCTCTACACATACACCAGAGCTGAATGGCAAGCCACTCACCAGTGCTAAACACTCCAAAGGTACACATACCTAGTTTTGAGACACTCTGTATATATTGACTTTTACTCACAATCAATCATTGAATCAATAATAATCATAATTTTATTTCTTGATTCTGCTTCTTTGAATTACTCTATACAAGTATGTGGTGTGTTAAAGTGCCTAACCTCAGTGCATATTTCTGACCCTTTAAGACCCCAATATCTCTAAAAATTTAGAATAGAATTTTCACCATTAATATAATTTGATTCAAACCTTTTTATACATACAAGATATTACAACTTGACAGAATTTGATACAAAACTTTATGTAAATATTAAAACTTTACAGAACACAATATTCACACAAAATATAAGTATGTATCAAATCCTGGGATATAGCAAGTTGGAAGTCTTATTCTGAATCATAGTTGGGGTATTTTAGGCTCAAAATGGGAACTGGGTCCCTTTAATGTGTGAAATGACCTTCTCATATTGGTTATAGAAATTATCCCTGTCATATTCTAGAATTCTAGTTCATTGTGATGTTACACTGTAAATATAATGGGCTTTGGGCTATTATTCTAGCAGTGCTAAGTCTATTCTTGTGCTTTCGGATGAATTTTTATAACCTCTTATAAGATTGAGTTAAGTCTAAAGCCATGCTTCTCATTATGCCTGGTTTAAAAGTACGGTACATTTATTGTATAATTAATGTATAATGATGAATGTGTATAAATTCATGGAATAAAAGATTTAAAGATTTTTCATCAGTTTACAGAAGTATATTCTTCAGGCTAATTGTTCTTCCTCACTACAGATGTGGAAGATGAGGGTAGCCACCATAATGTCTTTGACTCTCACATATTTGATTCACATTCCCTGAAATTGAAGCGTTTAAGAGACCTCTTTACCTCTACTGAGTTCTGAGTCCATATATGGTCAGGTAAAGGAACCAATCAAAATGTTGTTACGTTCTTCATATTGTACCTTGCTTGTTGTCTGGCCAGTTATATCCCATTGTCTCTGGTAGGAGAAGCCTCAGTTTGAACCGTGCTTTATACCTATTGTTATATATGTTACGTAGTGAGGTCCTTTATTATTATTTTGACAAAAAACCAACTGAGGGCTCAATTAGAGACATGCTTTATACCCATTGTTAGTACTATATATGTATATAAACATAATTTCTTACTCAGTGAGGTCCTTTATTATTATTTCCACAAAACTTAACTTTCTCCTAAAAGAGTAGCTCCTTTATTTGTTTTATTTGATGTTGTCCTTATGGTACAGAACTTGTTGTTTACTCTGAATAAAATTCAAATGTTGTGATTTGTGACTCATGTTGTTGAAAAATATGGACAGAATTTTGTTGTTATGACTCCATTCTCTTCATATGACATATGACCTCTTTGACCTATGACCTCTTGTTGTAATATATTAGGTATGAATTGAATTCGATTGCATTTTTGTTGAGACAATTCAAATGTTTTTAAATATTTATCTTTAATGTACATTGATTTACATTTGTATGTATTTTATATTAATTAAAAAATTGTAAGAAAAATTATCAAAATACTTTTAGATCTATTAAATCATCCTAAGAATTTCTTTATGTAGATATTTAATTACAAATCAAGTCTTGTAGATTCTAACAGTTATTAACAAAATCGTATTGAATAATAAAAGCACTTAATCATGTAATTAAAATCAAACTATTGTTCGCCCAATTTGATTTTTACAACCGTAATAATTTTGATCTTCAAATAACCAAAGCATCTTCCCTTGTTCAACACCATATACTAAATTATCAAATCTCACTAACTGTTTTAATCTAAGCAAATGACAAACTACTGGTATTATTTTAATAGCTGTTACAGCCCTACAAATGAGCCTTTCGTAATAATTTGAATATTTTAGATGGTAATGATCGTGTGTTATTACTAATATAATATCCGTGGATGATCCTAGCGCCATTCAGTTCATTGTTTAGGGATTTTTTGTATGAGGATGAGCGAATGTGACTCAGCAGTTATTGCTTCTCTTTCAAATACCAAGATGGTGAAGATGAAGAACGGGCTTCATATCTTTTTTTTATTTTTATTATTTATTTATTTATCCAATGATATAATGTATACTGAGAATCACAATGTTTCATAAATGCTTTAATTTACTATACATTTTTTTTAAGATACATGTATGCGACAGAAATGCTAAACATACTCGTACATTATATTTTACCCTATCTTAACACATGAATTAATTTGGACTGTTGTTGTATTGATGTTGTAAATACAGTGCCTGTCATTTTCTTTATATTGTACAATTTATCTTAACATCTGTATTTACTAACATTGAATCCATTACAGGCAAGTTGAAAGCTTTCGTAGAATTTTAGGCATAACAAAACATTTAGTATCGGCTTAATACTAATATCCCGTAGTAGTATCAATAAAGTATTGTCTCTTATAAATATTAAGAATAAAATGATGCTGAAAAAAATTGATGATAAAATGCTATATTAGGACCTCATTGTCCTAGCATTATGATGAGCTCTCTGAGGCTCATTCTTAGAACCGTCATAACCTACGATTTGATTTCCACCTATCGTTCATCTAAAAATAGACAAAAAATAGACAGTGGAGGATTTGCTTTAAAAAATTGTATAAACTGACCCCTGGATCATGTGGTTACAGGAAATGGATTTTACAATTTAATATCAACAACATAACAAACTCTTTTTAGACCATTTCATGTGAGCCTCTCCACTATTTGCATTCCTTTCACCCAATACTGCAGAGACGATATTACAGAGACAATACTTAGAGACAATACTAAATGCTTATGATCTTAGGTCTGTTTTTTTGGTACATGTGTAATTTACAAGACATAGAAAAGTGATGTTCTTCTGAATTTTATTTAAAATTGTTAAGTTGCAATTGTGCCAAAAGTGGATCCTTAATATAATAACATTGTTTGCTTTATGCTGTATAACATACTGTATGTAGCTTTGCTCTTTTCTATATAGGCAAAATATAGCTGTATAGGGGGCGCTTTTGTAGGTAAGTTTAGTGACACCTTTAGGGTAGAATATGTACACTTAATTCAGTTAATGTTTCATATCATTGATTGTTCAGTATTCTTTCACTGCTTACAAAATCTGGGTTAAACGTTTTCATGGGCAAAAGTTTGAAACAATTCTACATCTATTTTAACTCCAGCATCCAACATTAGTCACTGTAATGAAATCCAAAAAATGAAATGTTTGTAACTGTCTTGACTGATAAGATGTTCATTTGTTGTTTATTTTGTCAGCATGATCAACAAATACAATTTTATCTGTATTTTTATTATTATTACAAGCCCAGATTTTATGTTGTGTCTTTGTGTGTCATACTTTGTCTTTCACAATAACATATCAGTATCAATAGTCAGTGATTGGTTAATAATTGCATTCCAGAAACTGAACTCTGTTTAAAGTGAACACCACTGAGATTGCCTTTATGTGTTCATTTTGGTGAAATGGGTGTCCGTGTAAAAATGTTCACATTTTGAGTTTCTCAAAAAGAATGTTTTCATATACAGGTTTTACTGTAGAATAAGGCAAGGGTTATATTACTGACACAAACCCACAAAAACCTTTAAAACTAGTCCAGGTTCTTTCCAAGAAGGATTGGAAAAAATGTTTCTCTCACAACCTTGGACCTTTCTTACATCCAGTCATAAGAATGAAAGCCAGTAGTGGCTGAGTGGTTTAAATTCTCATGTCTTATTTGGTTGGCAATGTTAAAACCTGACTTTAAACTATTGCATTCTGATCTATTTCAGTGCCTTCTCCCAACATCTCAGATCCAGGAGTACCATACGAGTCTGTTACAAGGAGATTCTCATTGAAGTCGAAATCATCTATAGCTAAGCCGCGCAAGACCTCAACACAGTCATTGAGTAGTTACCCATCACCACCTAACAGTCCAGATGATATTTTCCGGAGATGATCCAATTCATACCGTAATGATGACTTCTCCGTGTGATCCAACCGAGATCTTCCATAATGATCAACAACTATGTTTAAGATGCCTAGTGTGTATGGTTCTTCATCATCTCTGAACGTATGAATTCAAATTGTTCGTTTGCATTCTTCGTAACAGGAACAGGTCTAATATTGGAATGTTGGATTTATCGTTTTGAATTATCATCCATATCATCAAGTATCAAGCAGAATACATATGTAAACTCAAAGATGCAGAACAACGAATATTGCCATTTTCCATTCCCATTGGCTTTATATATAGTTAAACAGCCATTTGTGCTATATATACCTTGTACAAAGCTATATTGGTTGGATATAAATGGTTAATGAAATTATACCAGTTAAGAAATGTAAAGTTTTGTAATGTAATTACCCAACTTGTATAGCTTTTGTTATGTAAAGTATGTATATATGTATATACTGGGAGATGCAATATAATATAAGTGTAATATGGTACTTTTTTCATGTAGAACATATTATTAAAGCCAGCAAGTTGCAAAATGACTGAAGGTCTGATGGAATATTAGTCATATTAAAATACATATAAATTGATTTTATTGTGAGTTCAACATTTGATTATTGCCCTCTCCCTATGTTCAAGGTTCAGTATTGGAATCTTCTCGCTGAGACATACTTCTTTATATACCTCTTTATTGTCATCGTCCTGTGCAGCTTGGCATGCATGAGTATTGTGAGTCTGGGTAGGGGGTGCCACATTAATCTTGTCATGAAAATTTCAGGAAAATCGCTTAATCCATTCAACTTGAACTTTTTCTATATTGAAGAGCAGACTAGTGCCAAGATCTGATTAGGTTTTGGGCATGCTTGATAAATTAAATTACATGGCAACCAGTTCGGTCTTCAGAGTGTGATATTTATCAGTCTATGTCTTGTTAATCACTCATTGGTGAACAGAATGAATTCAGTTACATGTTGAGCCAACATTTGATTGACTACCAGAGAGTCCAGGGTGAACCTCCAACAACAAGTTCTAACCGAGCTTTAAATATGCAAATATCGTTTTTTAACTCTTTTTTTATTACTTCTTTGTTACAGTATATTTGAATTGTTTAAATGCGATGTTGTACATTAAAGTTATATGTAAAACCTTTTTTGGATTTTGTATGTTTTCTAGGCTTCATTTAGTTCATTGTACATTTATTGCTAAAACCTCCAGTCAGTCAACAGTCAAAAGTGAACCATCCAAATACAGCAGTGACCAATTGTACAAATGGCCTGACATGGGTTAACAACCATTGTTTAACCCAATAATGATACAGAAAATTAAATTAAATTATGTGGTACAGCACCTGACATGTAATCGGGAGGTTGTGGGTTCGATTCCCACCAGGGTGGAGTGACTTTTTCACATCAGCCCTTAGCATAGGATTTGATCCTATGTTTTCAGATTAACAATGTATTATTAAAAGTTCTAAGTCAGTGGTTGTATGTAATTGAATTTGAAAGGATAGAGAGTGTAAAATATTTGAAGCAATCTTTTCAAAAATCAAGCCATTGTTTTTCTAACAATCCTGATTTTATTTTCGAAAATGAGATATCTCATCATGGATTAAATACAGACTTTATGAGAGATTAGAGATGTTGTTATGTCCAAATGCATTAGAAATTAAAATAGTACATTCCCCATTTAAATTCTTTGACCAGATAATCAAAGAAATCCTGGAATAAAGCTAGAATTGGGTTTCTAGAAAATTGGCTTGATGGAAAGATGAGATCATCAATATTGTCTCTATCCTTTTAGTCCCTTTAATAGGGCAATGGTGCAATATAATTATTAAGTCTAATATTCAAAGCACACTTAGCCTAGGTACAAGCCCGTGTGACCCCCCCCCCCCCCCATTACAACAAGTGTGAGAAGGTTCAGTCAAGTAGAGGGGGGGGGGGTCACAGAGGCTTGTAGCTAGACTAAAGCACCCTATAAATGTAAGGTACCTAATACATACAGTAAAACCTGTTTAATCCGTATGGCATTTGGCCTGGCTAAAGTGATCAGATTATCAGGTGCTCACATATTTTAACTCTTCCTTAATATGGGAGTCAGTGAGAGGTAAGAAAATTGGGACCGCAAAAAACTGTTCAAATTGAGAGATGTTCGGTTATATATACAGGTTTTACTGTATTAACAATTATGTTATTCTGTTAGTTATTACTTAAATTGAGTTTATCATGGAATTATAAATTAAAAGATAATGTATGTATTTATTATGGACACTTTCATAACAGATAATTTCTGCATAAGAGAGAGAATGCCTTTATGCTATTACTATAATGTAAAAAGTATAGCTTAAAATGTCCAGAAAGGTCCAGGGTATGTTATTGTTTAGTGGATCAGGTGGATTTGTTAGTGGATCAGATGGATTTATGTTATTGTTTAGTGGATCAGATGGATTTATGTTATTATTTCGTGGATCAGATGGATGAAACTGAAATGAGATAACCTAATGCTTTAGTCAAACATACTTGGTCCAAGGGTATTTCACTTCTTTCCAAGTTAAGTTGAGGAATAAAAGAAGCCTCTGAATGAAGGATGATAATCCACATATTGTTGATATTTGAAACATTGTTCACATGGTGTACATGACAATTTTCCTGTCAGTCTGTAACTACCAGCACAAATTGAAAATTATTATGAAGACCTGCTCAATGACATGTGCCATTTCAAATTTAATAAACTGTATGAAAATTATGTGATAAGTTATGATAGATTACGTGATAAGTAATCGTGAATTTTGTGATGAGGTATGAAAATTATGCGATAATCATTCTTATTATTTAATTTTCTCTAATATTCACGAGCTGATATTTGAAATTCAATTTTCAATAAATTGCAACAAATGATAAATCTATGCAGAAATTATCTGAAATGATAGTTGTCTATATCTGATATCAAAATGTGTCTGAGGAATTATAAATGAGTTTGATGAATGATACATAGTCACATATCAAATATCTCATGGTACATTTATTATATTAATTTCTCACAAAATGAACCATTGCACAATTAATGTAATGTTCTCTTTGCTATGTGATACAGATATATCAAATGACACAATAGGAATATGAGTGATTAGTTAAAGAGAAAGTAATATTAATTTAAGGTTTAAAGTTGTAAAAATTGTAATTAAGGTTTAAGGGGTATCTGCCAAATGTAACATATAACATATTGTATAAAATACATGTATACAAACTGTACTACATATACTACATACATTTAACAATTTAATATAAAACTATGTACTACATGTGTATTTATGATTTCTATTATTTAGTAGACAATTGTGGAATGAGAATCAAGGTTACCTGTGATTACAATCAGGTAATATTTAATGCCAAACGCATTTATTTGCATTATCAATAACCAAATGAATAAAACATTACAGAAATTATTAGTAAGTTGTGTTTAATAAAGAAGCATATCTGTGACGTGACAGGAAAGACAAGTGCATTGGTCCATGGAGAAGACATGTATATTTTGAATATTGTGTATATTGTATATAGTGAACACCTCTCTCTAGTGAACACCTCTCTCTAGTGAACACCTCTCTCTAGTGAACACCCTTTCTCAGCACATACTCAATTGACTTCTATATAAACACCTACCTACAGTGAACACATTTTTGTAGCTCCATAGGTGTTCACTGTACACACGTTTTACTGTAGATAGGATTTTAATTGAGAGGAATGCAAGATGACCATAATGACCATGATGACCATAAAGTTAGTCAGTACATAATCATAAAATTTTACTCAAATGAAATAGGATTTCATAGAGACTGTCGTGGCTTTAGACATCTAGCTGTAACAGCACAAATAAGAAGTTTTTTGAATAGCAATCTTGTCTCAAGTGCTAGCACAAAATAAATCACTGATTAGCAAAGATTAGATTATTAATGTAACATAACGATTTGGAATCTCGGAAGAATCGGAAAGTCTGCAACTACCTGCAGCATACCACCATACAAAATATACCACACCATATAAGAACTAAATGAAACATCAGCTTATCTTGTACATTTGTAAAGAGTTAGGGCGAGTAAGTACTAGTCTGTTACTGACCTTGTCAGTTCCATTTTCGTCTTCATATGTTGTACTTAGAAAGCCACGTTGACATTTTCTCGACATTTTTTCTACTTGGGATAAATACCTGTAGACTTGTAGATAAGACACATTTTCTATTTCTTTAAATTGTATTTTCAAGAGCTGATCACACAAGTAAAGATGTTAACATGGAGAGGATGATTGGGTTGCTAGTGTTGATAAAGTTATTAACATCATCAAAGAAATGGAAATAGTTAAATGGTATACAGTAAAACTTGGCTATCAACACAGTTATTAACATCATCAAAGAAATGGAACTAGTTAATGGCATACAGTAAAACTTGGCTTTCAGTATTCCTCTCAATGTGACCATTTATGTGTGCATTTATAGTTATTATGTCACCACCAAAAGTGTGACAAATTGTTATGGTCTACAATGTTTTTGTGGATGGTGTTGAGGTTTTGTGTCTGTAACAAATGGCAGGTGGTGACATTTTGTATATTAATGTTCTGTTTCTTTATCATATCCACAGCTCTTACTATTTCTCCAACGCTGTATTAGTAAGAGGTTTGATGTGTATCACCCAAATGAAGCTGTTCTGATTTTAGATGGTTTCTGCTTGAACACACAGAATAAATGACCAGTGTATTTTCTATTTGAAAAGTGGTTTCATGGATGTTAGACCCCACTAATGTAGCAACACAATAGAATGAACTGTAATTTAGTTTAAAGAATGTACAGTTGTAACAATGACGAGTGGCCCCGGCTTTTATTTCTCATAAAACCCATAACTGAATATGATTTTGATGTTGCCAATAAGAGTGGTGACATGATATTGTTATACTGTTATAGTCTCCAACTTTTTTTGTGGATGGTGTATGTTCGGCGTCTATGAACAGCGTTCTGCGTTTGTAACATCGTTCGGCGATCGGCGTCTGTAACACATGCCAAGTGGTGACACCTTGCATGTTAATGCCTTGTCACATCTTGTCTCCATGACTTATTTCCAATCCTTGATCTTTGGAAACATGTATATAGTAACAAAACAAAAACGAAGTACCGGTAAAAGATTTGGATTAGGTCATCAATGCTTATATTCCCATCCATATTCAGAAAAACTACCCTTTGCATTCGTTCGACTTTCTTTCTTTAAAGAGAGCTTCGTCTTCATACTCTGTATGCAGGGTACGAAAAAACATGGCCAACTTGGAGAACTGTCTCGTATGAATGACCAATCTTTTTGTCAATATGTGATTATAAAATTGGCATCAATTATTTTGACTCTGTGACTAGTGACCTCATGTATGACCAATCAAGGTTCCGTCTAGTCATTGGAGTCTCGTTCTTTGATGCTGGATTATCGAATTGACAGATAACCTGTTGCGTAGATGGATTAATACGATTAAATCAAGATTAAGACAAAAATATTTGTCAATGAGCAAGCAATAAATAATGACTTGGTTAGAGACAGGCATCAGTTTCTGACTCAGGAGATTCCTGTCTCCAATGTATTGATCCATTTTTAATTTACACGGTCGCTAATTATGGCTCCATCATCGTGAATCGTGTCTCCTGTATTACGCTATTAGTTGATAGATGTATTTTCATCGTAATGTGACCACACTTTCGCTTTTACCAAATGTTGCTGTTTTAAATCCGTCTGGATTCTGATTCTGGAGGCATAATGGCATATACTCTGGAGACAAATCGGAATGACAAAATTATTTCATATTCTCGTGATTTTTTTCTTTCCATTGATACG